TGCTTCGCACACGGGAGTCAAAAATGTATAACATTTTAGATTAGCTTCTGCAATAGTTTCTTTCGTTTTGGGTTGTCCAACTGCCAGCGTTGAAAATCGGTATAGGTGGATTTTTCAATAAAAATATAAGCCCGCCTAAAAATATTTGATAATTTTTTGAAAATTTTTACCCCAAATAAGGGCCCACCAGCAGTGAAATCGCCCAGGGCGGTTTTTTGTGCTTCGCACACGGGAGTCAAAAATGTATAACATTTTAGATTAGCTTCTGCAATAGTTTCTTTCGTTTTGGGTTGTCCAACTGCCAGCGTTGAAAATCGGCATAGGTGGATTTTTCAATAAAAATATAAGCCCGCCTAAAAATATTTGATAATTTTTTGAAAATTTTTACCCCAAATAAGGGCCCACCAGCAGTGAAATCGCCCAGGGCGGTTTTTCGGATGGGCGAATTTACGGCAGAATCCGATAGTATTCACATACCCATCTATGTCCTTAAGCTGCATCTCTTGAAATTTATTATCAATATTGTATCTTGAGGAATCTAACAACAAACAAACAAACCAAATTGTTAGCACAGCACAAGGAAGGATGTATCAACGGTAGATTTCCACTTTTGTTCAGTGGTTAAAGGGCCATATTCAGTATCTGTATCCAGTTTGACTGGACGGATATAGTGTATATTTCACATGAATTAATTTTATATCAATATTGTATCTTTAGAATTCTAACAATGAATAACAAATTTATCAGCATAGATTGACAAAAGAAATATTAACAGTAGATATTTTATTTGTACTTTTGTTCAGTGGTTAAAGGGGCATATTCTGTAACTACAGCTAGTTTAGCTGCATTTGTGTATAGAACATATAAAACATGAACTGATTCTAAATCAATATGTAAAGTAAATAATTATTTATTGTTATGAAATAAAACAGTTTTTTAGTGCATATAATTAAGGTTGCTACTCAAAAGTCAATATTTTATTTTTAAATAGGATAAAGACAAGCAGTCTCTTGCTTGAGATAGCTCCACTGTTTGCAATGCACATTTCAAATAAAGAATTGAAGATATCATCACAAAATGAACAAATCTGAGAGAGGTCTACACAAGGTACATATACACCAAGTGTCAAAACAATCAGACTTGACAATCGGTTTTCAAGAAAAGTCGAAAAAATTTGACACCGACGCGTATGGATGGCAACAGTGGACAATCACTCTTATGATAAGCCTTGCTCAAAAGTTGACAGTGAAGCTAAAAATATTGGGCACAAATACCTCAACCATGTTTTTCTGATTCAAATATTTTATTTATCTATATACATATGGAGCTGAATATACTTACAAACAATCTGTACAATGATATTTGCATATTCAAATAACTGTTGAACTTTTCTTCTGTACACATTTTCTGCTCGACTATTATCTTCATGAATAATAACATTCAACTTCTTTGGCCTTTCGGGAAAATCTGTAACAACAAATTTGATAGGTGAGAAACCATCTGTGATGTCTTGGGGATTACTTTATTTTCTGTGTAAGAATATATGTTTATAATGGTGTTATAGGTTTCCTGATCACCCTGATTTATTGATTTGTAAAAAAAAAAAAAAAAAAAAACTGAAAGTGAAAACTGAAAACAATTTAGTACCTTTTCATTGGTTCACAGCTTTCCATTGCTGAATTACGTAACATTAATATGGAAAAAATTAACCATGTAGTCGTAGTTTGATCATAAATCTTACATGTTCTACAAAAACACTTATAGCTGCAGTGGTGCATCATTGGTAAAAATATATAGCAAAGGATTACCACTAATATTTTATTATCTATAGAAGCACTCCCTTTCCTGTCATGGAAACATTTTATACACTACCCCTTGTACTGTAGTACTGTTGTACATGAAAGTAGTGATGGTACACACAATAGACAACTTTCCAGTGAGTAGGGAGAGCCTGGGATGCAAAACTACTCCTGCTTCGTCATGGCTGAAAATACAAACATGTATTAAGTTTGCCAATATTAAATAGGAGGACATTTTATTTTTTGTAATGTTGATTGGTACACTCCAGAGGCAAAATATCATGCATGTATGTTACACCCCAAAACAGTGTGCATGTGAAACGCTGTATCTTCGACTTCTGGGAAAATGGTCTATACATGTATGTATATGACATTTAAAATTACATGTAATCAATATACCGGTAATCCTAGGCCCACCCATGTAATTTATAGGTTGGATGTAAAAACTAACAATTTGGCAATTACTGAGAGTCAAGTGACAGAGGTAACAAATTACAGTAATTATGACATAAAAACTGCCTATACATAAGAGAAGATTTTTGATTGGTTGCTATATGTAACTAAGCATCCATCTTGAATAATATACAATAACATGTTAAGTGCTACCGTTACTCTCTATTATGGACTGACATTACATCTGCTCAATTTTATTTGCTTTGTCATTATAATGTTTGAAATAATGCAGGTAATAAAAATAATTTATGTTATGAATCTGAATTTAAGCTCACCATTTTTTTTTCAAAATTTCAGGATCAGAAACACATACTGTGAAATACTTTATTTTAGCTGGATTTAATTTTCACTGAAAAGACTTTGGGTGTTTTGTATGGAATTTATTTGCACTATAGGGAAAAAGGTATATTTGTTGGAATTTATTTTCACTGAATCAGTCCTTCAGCAAAAATAGTGAAAATTAATTTCAAGCAAAAATAAAGAATTTGACAGTATATTTTTTCCTTAAATTAGACTTTAACATTCTAAAAACCTCAATTATACATGCACATAATGGAAAATAAGATATTGTAATTGTTTTAGATCATATCAGAATAACTAGAATACATGAACAATTAAATAAGGGCTTGACCATTGAAAATCAGGGTAATGGGGGGGGGCTTAAAGATCTGTTCAAGGTGTTGCAGGGAAACACTTTTGCCACACCCCCACCCCGGATTTCAAATGGTTGGTTCCTAATGCTGTTTTAGTCACAGTCCCACAACAACAGGACTGGTGTTACAACATAGACCTTCTAAGGTCTATGGTTACAACCAAACTCCCTCTCACAAGTCCTAATGAAATAGTACCTCTAACCACATGCAAGCAGCCTTCAATTTTGTGGTTAATCACCTCACTGCGCACAGCCATTTTTTTGACAGTTTGACGTACTACAATAAGCAAAATAAATTGTTTGTGACAACCAAACTGTTTATCCATAGAAACAATTTCACCATGAACTACATTATGTGAGTTACTGAAGAGAATTAGCAGATGTGATCTACAAAAACTGAAGGAGAAAATTACATTTTGTTTAAATATCTAGTTGGAAAAAAAACATTAAACACAGTCTATACTAGCATCCCTGTTTGTAAACTTATCTGGTGAATATTTCAATAGTATGACTCTGTCTTGAATGGATTTTCTGTGAATAACAACCATAGAACACAAAGAACATTGCCAGTTTATAAAGTTAGTAGTTTATTGTAACCTAATCTAACATCTTAAAAAATTTGAGAAGACTTTCTATTGAATGCAAACCATAATTAACTGGGCATTTTATTCAAATCTGATAGTACAAAATGGAACATTAAATGGAATAAAGGAAATAGTATTTGCAATTTTTTTTAGGCAAATTTGTCAATGAAAATTAATGTGTATACTACCATGAATTGTCCCAAAGCAATAAAGCAACAGGGTTCATTTAGCATACAATGAAAACAATAGAGGAAATTAACACTGTTTGTTATGCAAATGAACCAACACATTAAGAACACTATGAAGAACCCTGTGTCTCTGTCATGCATATGCAAGCACGTCAGCTATTAAGAAAGCAAATATTTATTATATAATCCAACCAATTTTAGATGAACTAAATTAATAGTGCATAATGCACTTCATGACTATCAACAGTCCCTTTAACAAATATTCTACAGAAGAAATCAAGTTACTGTAAATGCATTAATTATTCACTGGGTTTTAATTTCACTATTTTCACTGATAAGTAAATTTAATCCACTAAATTAAATCTATGTGAACATGGAAAATAACAATAAAACTCATTGCTTTCTTTGACAAATACGTGAAATTATAAAAAAACAGTAAATATGTCTTGAACATTAAAATAGTGAAATAAAATGTAAGAAGAAATATATCAGAAATTAAATTTATGTTAAATTTCTTTTCTATAACACATCACTTACTGATGCTTATATTGCCCATTCATTTTATCCGTATGGGCTTTCTACAGATCATGCGTTAAAATTATTTAGAACTCATACTGGTTGAACCTAAAAATAACATTAATGTTACGAACACCATGTTTATTAGCCTCTGGCATGACTTGAAGTCTAGAAACAGGGAACCACAAATCTGTGTTTTTTTTCAAGATTTTTTTTTTCACAGAATAATCATGGGAGCAAGTTCAGATCAGACCATTTGTTTAAAACCGTAAATTAAAAATTTCTTTATTATTTGTCTAGTTTCATGTCTAGTGGTTAAAAGAAATGAAACTATATCTACATCTAAGCTATAAAATGATGAATATTTGTACTTTTCAAACATTATGAACAACCTATAACAAGCAGTCACCTCAAAAAATATACTGTCTACTGTTTCCCATCATGCAATGCACACAATGCAAGTTTGTAAAGACACTCCACGCGGTAAACGAGTAAAAGACAAAGACAAGTTTATTGAGCAAAAACAACTTACAGACACAAACTACAAAACTAATAAAATTACAATTCAATAAGATACGATTCAGAAAAATTGGGTAGGGGACCCACTTCTACCCACCAAGACAGCACATGCCCCCCTGAGCAATGGATTTCTGGATCCAAAAGAAGGAGAGGGAAAACCTGTATGAGGCCGCTTGACCTTGAAATGGGGGTCAGGATGAAATCCAATGGCCAAACGAGGGACATGAGCTGCTAGTGGAGCAAAGTGACCCCCATGAAATAAAGAGACCTGAAGGAGAAAAAAAAAGGTTAGTAGGGTGACTCAAACTTGAACAGACCAGGGAGTGGTGCAGAGGGAACTGACGTTCGCTGTCTGCGTGGTCTGCTCAAGAATAAGGTAACTAAACTGAACTTCTCACGGCTCAGGGGACATCAACTGAGCGGCACAGGGGTGTTTAGTAACCTCGTGGTCTATGGGACAGCTATGTGCGGCCTGGGGGGAGAGGGGCATGGGTGACATGGAACTGTGCAACACAGGGGGAGGGAAGTGCCTCGGGCCTGTGGGACAGCCATGTGTGGCCCGTGATGCAGGTGGTAATTGTCTGAACGCGGTTTATGGAGATGCTAGGACGATAAAGGTTTCTCTTAAAAGCTGTTGAGGTGCGCAGATGTAGGTCAGGTAGCAGTCACTGGTCCATCTTCCTAAGGTTTTGATAAGATGGTCTGGAATATGACGCGTTGCAGCAGTTGTAGCAGCTCCAATACGAATGAATGACCGGCCGCGTTAGCAAAGACGTAGCGCATTGATAACAAATTCCCTGTGGAGTGGGGTTCCTTCTAGTAGAGCCAGTTAGTGGGTCATTAGGTAGTGCGTTCATTTGGTAGCGAACAGACAGGAGGTGACACATTGTGGTGACCGGACAAACCACGTTGCCTGTTGGAAATAATTGCAGGTGGGAATCCTGACGGAACTGGTCTGTCTTTGAAGACTTGATGTGCACTGTTACAGACTTCATTGCATCTTTTTTAAAAAAACTGTCACCATAAAGCTAACCTCTGACTGCCAGCTAGTTTTTATGGTTGGGTAGTAAATCAGCCATAATTTTGTAAGTATCTAAGGTGAAAATATACTGAATTTGTCAAAATTTCAATGTTTTACTCCAAGCCAATCAGACTGTTTTTTCAAAAAATATTTTGGCCATAATTGGTCACATAGTCATTTTTCAGTTAAAAACTTTTTTTAGCTTAATTTATATATTATGAATGATATGGTACTTTTTGATGTCTAGAATTATTCTTTAAATAGATTTAAAACCAAATAAAACTTCAAAATAGAATTTTGTTGAATAATTGGCCAATTAAAATAGCATTTTTTTCAAAATGTTATCTTGTTCCACACAAAATAATGTTGCTACTGTTACCCTCTACCCCCTGATATTCGCTGTATTAGAAGTGCATACACTTGCATGAATAACAGAAATGGGTCTATGGTCTAGTCTGTAATAAACACAATTCTTGGTTTATGATTGTCACACCTTACTGGCATGTGATCATTTCATCACTTGCTCAAGTCAAGACTCTCTCACAATCAACAGAATTCTGAAAAGATTTTAATAGCACAGCTCCTCAATTACTTGCGTTACTGTATTCAGACGAGCCATTTCTAGCCTCCAGACTATTTTCAAAAAGCATGGCCTGAATTAAATATTGCCAAGCTGTCTCACCTTTGACTATATCATTAATCGCTTTCCTCCATTGCTGGCATATCTCTTCATTACTACATCTCAACAACAACACATCTTTTTTTCTCTCATCACGTTTTCTATAAAACACTGCCACGCCCAATGGATACCCAGTATGACTTCCTACTTTCACACGTCGTTTCACTTTAACACCAAAGACTTGATGGAGATTCAACTTTGTGAATGTACTTTTTGATTGGAAGATATTGATAAATCCTGAAATAGCAAAATTCAAACTTTGATTTTAAAGATTGCTTTTATTCACAGTATAGAATGATAGTCCAGCTTGAAATACTCTCATCGTAACAAATGCATTCTCTTCAACTTTATAAATATTTAGTAATTCTAAAAGCAGTTGAATCTAACCAGCTAATCAACAAGCCATGTGTGCAGTGTGTTATTCAATCGGCAAATAGAAACCTTGTTTCAGTTTAAATATTTATAAAAATGAAGTAAATGCCTTGGGCTGAGAGTACACAGTTCAAGTACTGCAAACAAATTTATTTTAGCTAGAATTAATTTTTGCTGAAAGGACAAAACTTGTGAGAAGTGAAAATAATAAATTATGTCAGGTAAGTTATTTATAATTTTGAATAGAAGAACATGTTTATTCATGTTTAGTTGTTTATTATTCATCACATACGCCATTGCTATAGTTACTGTTTCTAGTTTTACAGTGTGTACTAAACTTGAACGTTTTTGCAGCATTAAAAACTACAACAAAAGACTTGTTGATCAAGACAGCTTTGCTGTTTGCATTTGAAAATATTTTGTAGAACAATGGACTTCATATTAGACATTAGGAAATTATACTAATTAAAATAAATCTGAATTCATTAAGAAGACCAAGAAGGTTACGAAAAATTTGCAATGATTTTTCAATGTTGATACACTGCTAATCTTTAACATGCCCTGAAATCTGCATTTTGTAAATACTTGTCCAATTTTTTTCCAAGTCCTGGAATATTCTATCTGGCTTGAGGCTACAATGTAACACTTTTCTATAGGTTTTCAACTTTTGGCTATTTATTATTACTCTTAACAATTAATATCACTGTCATGCATGCATTTATTGAAAAATCAATTCAGGCTGAGATGCAAATAAATTAATGTAAAGTGTTTTGGTCATAAGAGAAATTTTTTACAAATTATATCTGTCGGTGAAAATCAGTGAAATTTTCAAAATGCTATAAACATATCAATTCGTGAAAACTAAGTGGTTTTGGAAAAAATTGTTTTATTCTCACGATGGACCTCCATGTTATACTTATACTTTATTAAACACGTAAAATTCCCCAGGAGGAATTACAATGGTTAAATTTCACAGTCACTTGGG